CCCTCCACTCCCTGATGTGGCCTGGTGGGCTCAGGGGCTGCCCTTGGCCAGGCCTGCAGCCCTACTTTAATGGGTGGTGAAGCTGGCAGTCTCTGGGAGCGAGAGGGGGCTGGGAGGGAGCCGTGGGGTGGCAGGAGGCCAGGCTTTGGTGGGAACAGGTTAAGGCAGGTTTGATTTCCTTAAAATGCTAAGTTGGGGGCCAGTGGGACCAGCATATAAACCTCCACCCTGGGTGCCTGGCCACTCCGTTCTCCTTCCTGAGTCTCTCTCTGCCGCCTGGTCTGGTGAGTCCCTCTCTTCTGTTGAAAGCGGGGTGGGGAGGAGCCCCCTAGGTCTCTTCCTTTGTTCTTTTGTCTTGATCTTTGTCTTCATAGTTTTCTCATTCTGGCTTCCTGGGTGGGATCCACCTGGGGCCTCTGTGGGTCTTTCTTCTTTGGAGGGATTCTCTGTGAAGTGTCAGATTGAGGGATCTTTTTCCAAGTTCCTCTGTGAGGTCTCCATTAAGGGGTTGCTCTAAGACCCTCTCTTGGGTCTCTCAGTCTGGGGGATTCCTTCTGTGGGTCTGTTGGTCTGGAGGCCCCTCTCTGGGTCTCTCAGTTTGGGTATCTCAGTCTAGGGGCCCTTCTCTGGGGGTCTAAGTCTAGAAGTGGGAGGTATACACGTGGGGGGGTGCTGTAACAAGAACCATGAGTTTGTTTTGTTTTTGCTTTTTGCAAAGTCCTTGATTTTAGCAGGACTAAGAAGCAAGAGGAAGGGGTCTCAGGTGCACGGCTGGCCTGGGTCGTGGCCCTGAGTAGCGGCAGAGCCCTGTCCGCTGCCTCAGTGAAGGTGAGGCAGGCAGGATGGGCCTAGGGCGTTCCTGCTCTGGCCTCACCCTGAAACCTGCCTAACCTTTTAGGCTAGTCCCCACATTCCCAGAGGCAGGGCCCAGAAACGGTGACCTCTGGGATCTGTCTTGCCCTTGTCCCGAGGCACTGGACATTGAGTTTTCTCGATTCTCATCCCAACAGGATCCTTCCTGGTGGGGAGGATGTTCAGTTTCCCCCACCTGGCCCATGCCCTGTCTGGATAGAGAGAGAACTCCGTGACTCAGAGGGCTCCAGTGTGATGGGGGGACATCCCACCCTCTGAGAACCCCTAGTGTGAGGGAGGAACCATCTCTACTCAAGGCAGTTTTCAGTTGAGTGGCAAAGAGAGACACCGTCTGGCTGCAGGAACCCTGGGTTTAAGGAAGGACATGACTCTGGGGGGCTTCCTACTCTTAGCCTGTAGCCATGGTTACTGCCAGACAGTGCAGGGAGCCCCGACTAGCTGCCCCCCGGACATGCCTGTCCTCCCAGTGCTTGGCACAGACTACTCTCAGGCATGCCCCAATTGTGATTTAAGAGAGAGGAGGTCCTGCCTTTGGTGACTCCCAGACATAGGGGGAGGCTCAGCATCTGCCCTCTGTGTGAGATGGAGGAATGGCCCCCGCCCTCGGGGAGCCACAGTCTCAGAGGAGATGCAGCCCCTGCCTTCCCATTCGGAGAGGGCTTTGGTGAGGTAGGTTGGAACACAGGGCAGGCGCGAGTCCTGCAGGCTGGGACCCAAGAGCCTTGGCAGCATCCTCATGACCTGCCACCTCTGCAGCCCCAGATCCGAGATGTCCAGTCCCCTGGAGCAGGCACTGGCCGTGATGGTCACCACCTTCCACAAGTACTCCGGTCAAGAGGGCGACAAGTTCAAGCTGAGTAAGGGGGAGATGAAGGAACTTCTGCACAAGGAGCTGCCCAGCTTTGTGGGGGTAAGTCGGGCAGACCTGGGGAGGGGAGGTCCTGGTGTGGAGGGGAGGTCCACCTTCCCCCCTCCCCATTTTTGCTTCATGGCCCCACTGGAGTGGGAGGGAGACCCATGTGAGTGCTCTGTGATTGACAGTTCCCCAGCATTCCAGAGAATTGTGTGCTCTTGGGCCCCCAGAGTCCATCTGCTGAATCCTCTTATTGGAGAGTTGAGCAACCCAGAGCCCAGAAAGGGGAAGAGGTTGGCTCAAGGTCACATAGCATGTGTTTGTGAGCGCTCTCTCTCCTCCCTCCTTCTCTCCCTCCCTCTCCAGCTCTCTCTCCATATTTATATGCCAAAGTAAAAGAGTGGATAGAGAGAGAGAAAAGTCCAGCTAAGATATGCACCTGGTCTACATTCTCTACATTTTGCAGAGAAATGTAGTCAACTCTCAATTTGTCCCGCACCCTCATTATGCTGGCTTGTGGGTAATCCCAAAGTCAGGTCTCAGGTATTGAACACACAGGGCAGGTCTTTCTTTCCTGTTTGTTTTGTTTTTGGTTAAACTTTTCTAATCATTTTGGATGGTATTAGAAATTGTTTGCCTTTTCTAAGTTGGGCATGGTGGTTCATGCCTGTAATCCCAGAACTTTGGGTGGCTGAGACAGGAGGCTAGGAATTCGAGACCAGCCTAGGCAACATAGCCAGACCTCATTTCTCTCTCTCTCTCACATACACACAAAAATCCTATAATCCCAGCACTTTAGGAGACCGAGGGGAGAGGATTGCCTGGGCCCACATGTTCGAGACTAGCCTGGGTAATTTGTCGAGACCTCTATCTCTACAATAAATCAAAAAATTAGCTGGGCGTGGTGGTACATGTCTGTAGTTCCAGATACTTGGAAGGCTGAGGTGGAAGGATCACCTGAGCCCAGCAGGTTGAGGTTGCGGTGGCCATGAGTGTGACATTGTACTCCAGCCTGGGTGACAGAGTGAGACCCCAACTCAAAAATAAAAATAAAGTAAAAAATAAAAAGAAAAGAATTCACCCTGGTGAAGGGGAGCTGCAAGCTTCAGTTTCCTCATCAGCAGAATGGGGGGATGATGCCCACCTCACTAGGCTCCTGTGGCATTAGAACTGGTATGTGCTGAGAGGAGTGTCCCAGGTTCTCCCCACCCCCAGCAGGGCACGCTGGGGCTCTCACCAATGAGTGTTTATCTCTCCTTACTCTTGGGCCCTCTTAGTAGCTCCCAGGGCTTTCTGCCAGGTACCCCAGCTGCTGGAGGGCACAGACCTGTGAATGTGTGTGGGGTCTAGGTATTGTGTGGAGCTGGACTGAAAGCTGGCGTGATGATGACCTTATTTCTCTCGTTTTCAGGAGAAGGTGGATGAGGAGGGACTGAAGAAGTTGATGGGAGACCTGGATGAGAACAGCGACCAGCAGGTGGACTTCCAGGAGTACGCTGTTTTTCTGGCCCTTATCACTGTCATGTGCAATGACTTCTTCCAGGGCTCCTTACACTGACCCTGAGGCAGAGCCCTTGACTACCTCCATGGGTCTTTTGGGTCCAGGACTCTTGATACCTTTCAATTTTGTTCTCAATAAACTTTTTTTGTCTGTTGATAATCTTTTGATTGCTCAGTGATGCTCTGTAACCTGGCTGGAGTGCTGGAAACTGAGGGCCTCCTGATCCCAATTGCTCTGGGCTCTGACTTTCCTTCTGGAAATCTCTCGAAGGCCAGAGCTATGCCTGAGTCCCCATCTTTTGGGAATTCAAATATCAGCAAAAGTTTTGAAATTGAGATAAGTTGCCAACATTTTTTTTTTCTGCCAAATAAAGATGTTAAAAAAGGCAAAAACCACCTACCAGCACTATCATTTCATTAAAGAGTGGAAAATCTCAATTCCAATAAAGAAGGAAGGGTGTAATCTCAGAATGAGGGATAGACCTTGACATTCAACACTAGGAGCAAAGAGTTGTACTAGGACGTGCTCAAGAGAGATGAATTAATCTAATCAACTCCTGCAAAATTTCATGTTAAGAATTCTTTGTCAGGTTACAGGCCACAGGCAGTGCTATGGTTTGAATGTGTCCCCCAAAGTTCATGTTATTGGAAAGTTGACCCCCTCCCGGCATGGTGGCTCACGCCTGTAATCCCAGTATTTTGGGAGGCTGAAGCAAGAGGATTGCCTGAGCCCGCGGGTTCAAGACCTGCCTGGGCAACTTGGTGAGACCTCATCTCTACAATAAATCAAAAACTAGCTGGGAGTGGTAGCACATGCCAGTAGTTACGGCTACTTGGAAGGCTGAGCAGAAGGATCACTGGAGCCCAGCAGGTCGAGGCTGCAGCGGCTGGAAGCATGCCACTGCACTCCAGTCTGGGCGACAGAGTGAGACTACAACTCAAAAAAAAAAAGAAAATTGACCCTTCTGGGCATGGTGGCTCATGCCTGTAAGCCCAGCATTTTGGAAGGCAGAGGCAAAAGGATTGCCTGAGCACAGGCGTTTGAGACCAGCTTGGGCAACTTGGTGAGACCTCATCTCTATAATAAATAAACAAAATTAGTCAGGCATGGTGGCATACACCTGTAGTTCCAGCTACTTGGAAGGCTGAGGTGGAGGGATCACTTGAGTCCAGCAGGTGGAGGCTGCGGTGGTCACGAGCATGACACTGCACTCCAGCCTGGGCGACAAAATGAGACTCCAACTCAATTAAAAAACAAACAAAAACCAACCAAACAACAAAAGAAAACAACAAGAAAATTGAACCCCAGTGCCAGTGTTGAGAGGTGAGACCTTTCAGAGGAGATTAGGCCATGAGGACTCAGCTCTCACTAATGGATTAATGCCATTATTGTGGGGGTGGGTACCTTATAAAAGGATGAGCTTGATCCCCCACCTTTTCTCTCTCTCCCTCTCTTTGCTTGCTTTGTCTGCTGTGGGATGACACAAAGCTGACCCCTTGCTCTTGGACTTCCCAGTCCCTAGAATTATGAACTGATACATTTCTGTTCATTATAAATTACCTAGCGTGTCACAGCAGGACAAAATGGACTAAGCAGGCAGTATGTCTGTTCTTAGAAAAGCTATATTTCCTGCCATATCTGCTTTCAGATTGGCTAGCTCTGGTTTGAGCTCATTCCTCTTCTGTTGGTCTCTGCTAAAGGCTACTAGGAGATAGCTCATTCAGAATTCTGATTTTTTTTTCTACTACTTTCCCTAGAACTGTAGCCTAGGTTGTCATGTATTCTGCATCTTAAGGTACATCAGGTGACAGTCTGACCAGATGCTTTGCCATCTCAAAACAAGAGTCACCAATTTGCAGAGTTGCCCCAGTCTAAAAAAGGTGAGGTCCTCATATTTTATTCTTTCTTATCCTCATCTAATTCTACATTTAGGTTCTTTTTCTTTATGGATCTCACTTCTAGTTCCCAAATTTGCTACCTGTTAGGAATGTATTCAGCAGTTTGTAGAAAACTCGACTAGCAGTGGCTTAAATAAATTGGTGTTTTAACGCCTCACACAATAAGAATTCTAGGTAGGCAGTTCATATTTCATTTGGTGACTCAGAGATGCTACACTGGTTACGTATTGCTTCATGACAGGCCATAACACATGGTGGCTTAAAACATACATTTATTATCTCTCATCGTTCTATGAGTAGACTGGGCTTAGTTGGCGGTTCTTATTTGCGATCTCCCATGGAGTTGCAGATGGAAGTTGAGGCTGGAGTCATCTGAAAACTCAAATTAAGTCAGTATCTAATGCCTGGCAAGTGATACTGGCTGTTAGCTGGGAGCTCAGCAGCCACTGCCACTGGCAGTGCCTACCCATAGCCTCTTGATGTGGCTTGGGCTTCTCAGAGTATATACCAAAGTAAGCATTGCATAAGGCCTAAAAGGAAGTTGTGAGAATTTTAAAGATTCATCTCAGAAATCTCAGGACATCATTTCTATTGCATTCTATTGATCAAACAAGTCATTAAGGCTGACCCAGCTGGGCACAGTAGCTCATGCCTGTAATCCTAGCACTTTGGGAGGCTGAGGCAAGAGGATTGCCTGAGACCAGGGGTTCGAGACCAGCCTGGACAACTTGACAAGACCTCTTCTCTACAAAATACCAAAAAATTAGCCGGGAATGATAGCACACACTGTAATCAGCTACTTGGAAGGCTGAGGTGAAATCAGCAAGTCGAGGTTGCGATAGCCGTGAGTATGCCACTGCACTCCAGCCTGGGCATCAGTGAGACCCTGATGCAAAGAAAAAAAAAAATGGAGCCTGACCCTTCTTTTCAAGGGGAGGAGGAAGATTCAAGGGGAAGAGAAACGACATGCATAATAGTAATGGTGGGCCGGGCACAGTGGCTCATGCCTATAATCCCAGCACTTTGGGAGGCCGAGGTGAGAGGATTGCCTGAGCCCACGAGTTTGAGAGCAGCCTGAGCAACTTGGTGAGACCTCATCTCTGCAATAAACCAAAACAAAGTTAGCTGGATGTGGTGGCACGTGCCTGTAGTTCCAGCTACTTGGAAGGCTGAGATGGAAGGATCACCTGAGCCCAGCAGGTTGAGGCTGCGGTGGCTGTGAGCGTGCCACTGCTCTCCAGCCAGGGCAACAGAGTGAGATTCCAACTCATTAAAAAAAAAATTAATGGTCACCATCTTTGGAGACTATATATAGTCTGTACATATAGTCTGTCTTCTAGCAACCACAATCACATCCTCCCCATATGTAAAATACACTCACATTCTTCTCAAGACCCAGAGTCTCATCCCATGAAGGCATCAACTTGAAGCCCAGAATTTTATCACCTAAGTTAGGTCTAGATATGAATGAAGCTTCTCAGGGGCAGTTCCTCCAGGGCAGCTCCTTGACAATGGCTCCTTTTGGCCTGAGACCAGTGAAGAACACATTCAACATTCAAAGGCAAGACAAAGACAGATACTGCAATACACAGTTCTGTTCAAAAGGAGGAGGAACAAAGTGGTCATTGACCCATAGTGATTCTGAAATTGAGTCAGCACATGTCACCAGATTCTTTTTTTTTTTTTTTTTTGAGTTGAGTCTCACTCTGTTGCCCAGGCTGGAGTGTGGTGGCATGGCCACCACAGCCTTCACCTGCAGGGTTCAGGCAATCTTTCCGCCTCAGCTTTCCAGGTAGCTGAAACCACAGGCAGGCACTACCACGCCTGGCTAATTTTTAAAAAATTTATTGTAGAGATGAAGTCTTGCCAAGTTGCCCAGGCTGGTCTCGAATCCCTGGGCTCAGGCAATCCTCTCACCTCTGTCTCCCAAAGTGCTAGAATTACAGATGTGTGCCACCATGCCTGGCATCACCAGATTCTTGATCAGGGCCTGGTTCTGCTCTCTATAGATGGTTCTTCTTGGCTGTTGGCTCCACCCTCTAGGCTCTTGACTTCATCACTTTCTGAGTTAACTTCTTCTTTTCTGTAAGAAATGTCTGTGTTGACTGGGCGTGGTGGCTCATGCCTGAAATCTCAGCACGCTGGGAGTCTGGGGTGGAAGGATTGCTTGAGCCCAGGAGTTTGGGACCAGCCTGGACAGCATAACAAGACCTATCTCTACCAAAAGAAAGAAAAAAAAATAGAAAGAGGAAAGAAGAGAGGATGGATGGTAGACAAAAGACAGTATTTTCCTACATTGTTTTCTTACCTCCCTGGGAAACTCCGATGCTTGGGAACTTCTTACAGAGTTCCTTGGATAGAGCTCAGAGGTGGAAAGGAGTCGGGTGAGAAGGCGCTGGGACTCACTAATCTGCCTTAACCTCACGTCTGGGGCTGGTGGGGCAGGGCTGGGCAGGCTCTCAAGGATAAATGGCACTAAAAAGAGAGAAGCCCACCTTCCTAATACCCTGTAGGAACGGGAGCCAGTAAGTATAGGTCAGGGAATCATGATGATGGTAATTAACATTTCTATGGCAGTTCTCAAAGCTTCTTTCACGCACACTGTCATTTCTGCCTCACGGTAACCCTCAGTGGAGCTATCATTAGGCCTTATTACAGGCGAGGAAACTGTGAGGGAGCAGCAGCATTTGCCCGTTCAAGGAGCGCCCCCTCCAGCCAGGCCCTCTGCTAGGCCTATCAAGCATCACCTCATTTAATCCTCAGAGCAGTCGGGTGAGAGACGTGCTAGTAGTTTCTGCACTTCACAAATGAGGAAATAGAGGCTGGGAGAGATTAAACAAGTAGAGCCAGGACTTGACCCACGACTGCAAGAAAAACCCTCATCTCTATGGGACACTGGGCAGCAGTCTGGGTCTTGCTTGCCTTCCTGTGCCATCTCCAAAGACTCATATCTGTGTGTGTAGAGGGGACCTGGCTGAGCAGACCCCAGATTCTCTTGGTCTTCCTCTCCTGGGTCAGTGCTGGTGGCTGGATTGGTGCAGTCTGGTTTCCTTTGGGCCTTTGGCTCACAGTGGGTCCTGGATTCTCTTGGGCTCAGTTCCAGGTTCTGGGCAGTGTCCGCGGGTGGATACTGGCCTTGGATGGCGGCCTCTGGAGCTGCCACAGCTGGGCAGGTTCTGAAGGGGTGATTTCCTTTCCTTCTGAGTGTTGGATAAACGAACACACACTAGACTTTCCTTGACCGTTCCAACAATCTTTCCTTA